TTTAATACCAAATAATCCAATTACTATAATTCAATGAATACAAATGTACAATAGCACATTAATGTGACGGCAAAAACCTTTTGCTACGAAACGCCTTCAAAAATTGGAGGAGGCGGCAAAGAAAGAAAAAACAAGTAAACTAATAAACCAAAATATAATATTAAAAAGAAGGGCAAGGAAAAAAAGAATGCAAGTCTGTTTAGCTGCAATACTATTTCAGCTTTCATTTCAACCCCCTTCTGTCTCCAACTATTCCAGCGTATATTATTTCACCCTTTTTTCTTTTCTCTCTCTCTCTTTGCTTGCCGCTTATCACTGCAGCATCTTTTTAAGAACGTTGAGAAACAACTTAAACGACAACTATAACACTAACAATAGGAAAGCAAAAAAAAAAACAAAAAGGATACAATTTCCTTGTCTCTCTGTCTTTTCTCTCTTTCCCTTCGTTTCACTATCCATTTTTGGTGACTTTACCATAGATACATTACGATGCATAGATGAAAAAAAAATTTGAAAATATTTCCAACCACATTATAATTACGGGGTTCCTTCAAAACGTATAGAACAGAAGACAAAACAAAATAAATGAACACAGTTATAAAAAAAAATGTAATTTTTTTCTAAAAAAAAATAAGGAAAAAAACTATCGTTTTTCTTTTTTGCTCTATTTAAAGGACATTGGGCGACGCAAAAAAATGTCTGAAGTAGGAAAAAAAAGAATGCATGCAATACCGTTGAATTTGGGCGCCGTTAGACTGCTTCATTTTTTACGGTTCGTATCAGCGTCATGTCTTTTTTTTGGTATAAAAATTACACACACATAAACACATGCTCAGTCATATGTACGTAAAAATAAAACTTCTTCAGCATCCTCTTCTTCCCCAAAAATATTTTTATCTAATCAAAAAAATTAATAAATAAACAAATGAATAATAAAAAGAGGAAGAAAGTGAAAAAAGAACGAAAAATCAAACAATATATTTCTTCCATTCACTTCCAAACGACTCCCTTTGAACTTACATATCAACTTATATCTTCTGCCCAGCATGACAAAAAATATGAAGTAAGCGAGAAAAAACTAATTAATAAAAAAAGCTCACAATCTAAAACTTGAGCAGTTCTGTAATACAGCAGTTATGGTTTTATAGACGGCGCCATTACCGTTCCGAAGAAGGTCATCTAATTTAAACAATCCCTTACATATCTTGATCATCCTTCAACTATTAACGTAATTATACGAGAAAATACCACATGAAAAGTTTATTTGTT